AATGGTACTTTTGTTTATTAAGTGGAGTTAGCATGCTTGCGTTTATGCAAATATTGTTGGTAGATCTCATATGTGGATGTGCATTTGATATTGTTTTTGTTGCAGTATTTTTCTTATTCTGAAGTGATCAGTTTAAGCTATGGAGACATTTATATGAGGCCCAAAGGTGTTTGTTGTATTATTTACAAAATAATCAAGAGCAATCTCCCACTATTTAGTATTTGAGAGACAAATTGAAAATTATTTAGACATCTAGTCATGACGAACAAAATAGGTCAATATATATTTTTTTAAATATAAAAGCAACTCTAAAATGGGCAATAATGTTTGATTTTTTTTTAAGTGAGTAATATTGTAATTCTATACAATCTCCCAACATAAAGAGGACAAATACAATTACATTATTGTTTGAATTATATATATATATATATATATATGTTTATTTATTTATTTATTACATAAAAATGAGGGATGCAACTCGAGATAATATAATTTTATTTCTTAAATTGTTGACAAATAATAAAAAAGAACAATTAGTATATAGTCAACAAAACACAAGACAGGAGGGAACAAAATAAATCATGCCTTTTTATTATTAGGACTTTATCAAGATAGATTTACACTTTAATAGGTGAATACCATATTAATTTGGCTTTTTATAGCAAAATGTCTCTCATGTTAACGAAACTATCAAATTGCGTCTTTTTTTCCTTTTCTTTTTTGTTATTCGTGGTCCTTAACGTTAATGTGAGTGCTCACAAATAGTCCATGATGTCATCTTCCATCCAAAACTCTATTAAATTGTTGACGCTGCGTACATATGGGACTCACACATCCAACGGTATCACTCCACGTGGATTAATTTAGAATAATATTTAAAAAATATTTATAACTTGTAAACCATAATAAAAAATAAATAAAAAATAAAAATTGAAAACCAATCTCTTAATATTCCACCACCATATTTTTCTCTGTTTTCCCCATCTCTCTTCAATCCCTCCATTATTTTCAATTTCTCTCATCCCTCTTTTCTCATATCATATTGTAACCCTTAGAATCAATCTCGCTAAAAAGCTCACAAATTGTCTTTGAGATTGATGGTGACCGAGAGGAGAAAAGTATGAGAATTTGAAAAAGGTAATCAGATTTATAAATTTGTCTTTATATTTGTTCCTATCTAGCAAACTATTTTTTCAATTTCCAATAGGAACAAAACACGGAGTGGTAATCAGATTTATGAATTCTCGATAGAATTGCATGTATCTTATCATTGCTGATGTACATAAATCAGGTGGAGGTACGGAGTGAAGTTTCTCAAATCTTATTGATTATATAAAATCTGTAGATTGCTTTCTAAATATCTCAGTTGCTTATAGAATTATATTGATTGTGTCAATGACTATGGTTGCTAGAACAAGCTTTTTCCTTTCGATTTATTCACGCGCCTCTATTATAATGCATACTACCTTTTTTATTCGGGTAAACTACCAAATACCCCCTGAACTATCAAGCTTGTCGAGATCTTCACCATGAATTATTTTTTCAGCTAATTTAGCCCTCAGACTATTTTAAATGGTCAATGTAACACATGTTGTTAAGTTTTTAGACTTCCATCCAATTTTCTATTATTTATAAGGGTAAGTTTGTCATTTTATAAGGACAATACCAAAAAATAATAAAGAAAATGTAAAATCATGATTTCTTCTCTCTTTCTCTTTCTTTGTTCTTTTCCTTTTTCCGTCTCCTTCCTCTCTCTCTTTTCTTTCTTCTCTCCCCGTCTATCTCTCAACATCTGTCTCTCTCTCTCTCTCTCTCTCTCTCTCTCTCTCTCTCTGTGTCATTTTTCCTTCTTATTCTTCTCTCCCTCTCACTTTCTTTCAAGAATCCGATTCAAAGTAGGCGTTGTCTTCTTCCCCAAGTGCACAATGCCTTCTCTACAACCTATATTCTGATATCCTAGTGCACCCGCCCCAGATTCAATAACATCAGCCAATTTGATCTGAAGAATTTTGTCCCAACCCTGAACCATTGTCCACTGCACCTCCAACCAAACCCAAAATGTGTTGGACACAAGAACTTCATGAAGCCTTTGTGGAAGTTGTGAACCAACTTGATGGTAGTGAACGTAGGTAACACATGCTACCATGTTTTTTTCCGGTCATCATGTTATAGTTCTTTATTTCCATGGGTACGAGAAGTGACAGTTGTTCACCCGTTTGGTTTTTACTCCTGTGAAGGAAAGGCAAAGTTCTCAATTGCCTTGAAAACCATTGAATGGTCAACAAGTCAACTTTCTTTGGTATGCGAGCGTGCTACTATTAGCAATAAAAATCCTAGCAGGCTTCTTTAAAACAAATAACTTGCGCCCCAAGTTACTGATTTCTAAACAAGCGATTGTGAATTTGGGTGATGAATATCTCCCAAGTAAGTTCTTTTCTTACCTCAGACTGGCGAGGACTTTCACAATTTATCCCAATAAAAAATTGGTGGTTCTGGCCAGAATAATTGATAAGAAATTGGACTGTTTTAGGCAGAACTACCTTTTACAAAACTTAGAAAGAAAAAATCAACTCTAGAAATGCAAAAAGGAGGTTGGAATTCCATTTCTATATGGATAGAAGCTTCTGATCCGGGCTGGACTGAGTATGTCTTTGCTGGACTGAGATGTCAGCAACTTCAACTGTTAAGCTTCAGCTGTAAATCGATGCCAAAACTTGATTTTGGCTGAGCTTTAATTTATTTCAAGCCCTGGAATGCTTTTTGAATGGGTAGAACTGCAACTTCTTCAGTCTGAACGAGGCAGAAATGGCTAGACTTGAGGATTACTGAGCCGGAACTGCACTATGGTACCTGTTCTGCTTGTCTTGGCTTTTGCTGAACCAAATTTGTAACGAGAGGAATCTCGTTTTGAATGACTTACTTCTCTAGGTCTGAACTTTGGAAGTTCTGATTTACAATTGGCTTTTTCTGTGGCTTGAATGAGCTTTTGGTTGCTCCAGTTTATTTTGAAAGTTCTCTGTAATTAAGTGATCATTTTGAGTTTTTGCCTTTGGTTACCCTCTCTTTATATTTATAAGAAATGCTTTAGAGTAGGGTTTTTTTCTTTTAATAATGGGCGGCAAAATTCTCAAAAGATCTTTCATTTTTAAATGCAAAGAAAGAGGGGTTTTATCAATTTCTGGCAGATAAGCTTTCAACAATCAGTTCTTATGGCCATTACTTCCCTGTATTTTGAAAGAGAACCTAACCTCTTTCTAATCCCAACTGCCCCTTGTGAGAGCTCAACTGTGATGGTTAGTTTGATTTTCCAGTTTGAACAACTCCTTGTTTTCCTGCTTATCTCCTTTGAGAACATAGCATGCTTATCTCTTGGAAGGATCACCTTCTTTAGAGAAGAAACAATATTTCTAAATATACAAAAGGGATTTTGATCTTCTGGTGGCAGAGATTCAGAGAAGTCTTGTTGCTATTGACCTGCTTTTAATTAATTCACAATCAGAGAAGAGATAGTTGATTTTGCTGACTTTTCTAAGTCAGAGAACATCACGTGGGTCTGTTCCTTTTTTGGGTCTCTTCTTTTTAATTATGCCAAGCCCAGTTTTGAGTTGAGCCATAGGCTGATTCTCTTTCTTTTTCTTCTTTTCCGAAGCCCAATTTCGTTGTTGTTGGTTTTGACAAATCATGGGGTAGGCTCGTTGGATTTTGGGCTCTTCAATGTTGGGCTGGGTGCGCATCCTTGGCCCAATTTCAAAAGAATGATGGTGGTTGCCCAAAATTGGCATGGGCTTTTATTTTCTTTGGGCTGCGTGTGCCAAATTAGGCCCAAACAACAGCTTCTTTTGTCATTGGCTAATAACTAACAAACAGGAGCTACTCCTAAGGGTATTCACTCGAAAACCCTTGTGGATGTGGGATTGCGATCAGAGAGTCTTGGGAGAAAGGGGCTAGGGAAGACATCGATTGCCTTCCCCCCTCCTCCCCCCTTTTTTTCCTCAGTTTTGTAGTTTTAACAATTTAATTATTTTAAACTTTTAAAAAAATAAGTTTTAATTGAACAGTGAGTCTAATTGAACAATGAGTCACATGCCTAACATGTGACATTTAGACAGAAAATTGGATGAAATTGCATGAAAACTAACGATAGAGGCTAAATTGACCATTTAAAATAATCTAAGGGCTAAATTGGCAGAAAAAAAAAATTATGGTGGAGATTTCGATAGTCATAGAGTTCAGGGGGTATTTGGTAGTTTGCCCTTTTTATTCACTCTCTACGCGCTACCTAAAATCATTTTATTTGTTTGTTTTTTGGTAATTGTATACTAAGGAAGGGGCTCATTTAGTTTATTGCCTAGGCCACCAAAAGTCAGGTTGGCCCTGCTATACACCCAACCCAATCACAACCTTACCTTCAACGCACACCAACCCCCACTTGCAACCACCACTACACAGGTCCTCCACCCTCTCTCTCTGTCCTCATGCTCTCCATGGCCCTCTCTTTCTTCTCTCCCAGATAACGCATGCCATTTTTATATCAACAAGTCGTTGCTTAAAAAAAAAAAAAGAAATTTATATTAAAGGTATTCCTCTCGACTTCGGACTTCTCATATGGACCACACCATCGGCAACGTGGAGGATCTCAAATTGGCAGCGCCGGTGTTGTACATGAAAGGCTTCACCAGGTTTTACAAGTTCTCCGAGTGGCGTCGGAGGATTCAATGGAATTTGTAATGTGTCATTAAATTGCTCGATTTTAAAATTACTGGCATAAGCAAAAGACACACTAGTGTAGTAGTTTAGAGTAATTGCTCCCCAAATCAAGGTCCTAAGATCTAGTTTTAATATCTGTTTAGTGTGTATGAGTTTAATATTGTATTGCCTCAATAATGAAGTTCCTATTTTATTTTTTTAAAATTACTGGCAAGTGAATGTGACTTTTTGCCCTGTGTCTGTATTGAGCGCTACACTTGGCTCCCAAAAGAAACATGGCCTTAAACTCCAAACATTCGAAAAATGCACTTCCAGTTGATAGTCCTAGGCAGATAATGGAATTCTCACTCAGCACCCCACACTATCTCAACACCACCACTCCCTTCTCCACCCTCATCCACAACCAGAAACACCACTCCTCCTTCTCCTCCTCCTCCTCCTCCGCCATCACTTCTCTCTCTTTCTCTCTCAAACCAACGCCTCCTCCACTGCCAAATTCTGAAAACCCCACCAGCTCCTCCCCTCCCTCCAACCAAATTCGCCGCCCCAAAACCCTCAAAACCACTCCTTCCCCCTCCAAACCCACCTCCAAAATTCCCTCTAACCCCTTTAGGAACCTCATTAATCCCACCCATGTCCCTACCCCACCAATTAAGTCCACCACCAACACCAATTATCACCCCTTCACTGACAAGCTCTGGCTCACCAGCAAGCTCTCTCCCCCACCTCCACCTCCACCACCCCAAAAGGAAAATCCTGAAGAAAATCGAAAACCCATCAAGGACAATGCCCCCCAGAAGAATTCGGATTTGCCCAAAATTAAGTTCCAGCAAGAGGGTAAAATCTTTGTGGGGAATTTGCCCAACTGGGTCAAGAAAAATGAGGTTTTCGACTTCTTCCGGCAATTCGGGCCCATAAAGAATGTGATTCTGATTAAGGGTCATGACAGTACTGAGAGAAATGCAGGTTTCGGGTTTGTGATTTATGGGGGTTCGACTGCTGCTAAGTCTGCCATGAAGGCGGTCGAGTTCGATGGCGTGGAGTTCCATGGGAGGGTTCTGACTGTTAAATTGGATGATGGGAGGAGATTGAAGGAAAAAACTGAGGAGAGGACGCGGTGGATTGAAGGCAACGACGAGGTTGAGTATCGTTCTAACTGGCACAAAGAGCGGGACAGCTCGCGCAAGGAATTGCGCAAGATTATGGATACTGAGCCGGAGAACTGGCAGGCCGTCGTTGGGTTTTTTGAGAGAATTAAGAAGGTAGAAGATCAGTAACACTCTTTATTAATTTATGTGCATTTCACATTCACCACATGTCAACATCCTAATCCATGACTTGTTTTTGATATTTATAGCAGTTTAATTTGTGCTGTATGCTATTGAGTTATGAGGTATCAGATGTTCCTTGAAGTATATTGTTCCAACTATTAAAGATTGGAACAAGGAATCAGTCATAATGCCTGCCCATAAAGTTGAATCCAAATATTAATAATAGTAAGAGGTTCTTCTAGAGTTTACTTTATACAATGACTTGTACTTGTCCAAATCACAATCTTTTTCAATTGCGAGAACTAATACAATACCCACCACACACGTTTTGTACATTTATATATATATATCTGTGCTCTCTGTGGAGCTTATTCTATGAATGGTTGCTTTTAATTTGAGCAAAAGTATACCGTCTTTGATTCAGTGTTGTGTACATAACACAAATGTTTGCTTGTATGTTTTTTCTTCTTTGTATCAGCCTTCTAGAGGAGAATATGGCCTGATGGTGAAGTATTATGCAAGGCGAGGGGACATGCATCGTGCTCGTGAAACTTTTGAGAGCATGCGAGCAAGAGGAATAGAGCCAACGTCGCATTTGTACACAAGGTAAAACTTTTTGTGTAATGTTTAGAATTTAAGTCTTCAGTAATAGCTTTTATGGGGACAATTTTGATTTTGGGTTAAACACATTTTCGATCCTCTAAATTGTGGGCAAGTATCAGCAACTCTTGATTTCTAATTTCAGGAATAAAGCACCTCTTTCTCTTTCTGTTTTTTTTTTTTTTAAAAAAAAAAATATAACAAGGAAGTTCAATGAAAAACTTTAACTGATTAAGTTAATTGAATTCAACGATATGGCACTCAAGTCTCAAAAATTGGATTTTAATTGGTAATTGCTGATGCTAGAAATTCTTGAGTATACTCCAGGAAATTTGATAAGGACTCATGATATTGATATCCCTTCCTATGTGAATTAGGGGCTCAGAGTTGAGTTAAAATTTAACTAAAGTGTAATTAGTACACTTGGTCACAATTAATTTAGATAAAGTTTCTTGCTATTTAATTAAAGGATTCGTATAGTTGACACCCTCGTTTTATGAATAAAGGCTTTGTTGATTTGTGCTGGACTTTATTCTGACCAGTTGAGTGATTAATGAGACATAGTTGCTTGGAGTAGAAGTTTAGGGACTTTATTGAATCTTACATCCATTTACAAGGTAGTAAGATTGTTAAAGCTATGGCCTTTGTTTCAGCCCATCTTTTGGTGATTATTCTAGCTTATGGCCTTTATGTAAGTTGCAATGTACTTTTTTTTTTTATGTAACATCTTCAGAGAAAATTACTGTCAAATCGCACTACCATTGGCTCTTGTAGCTACAGTAATTCCTCTCAACGTTTAATAAGAGGGATGCCATAGGGGTTTGTTGAAATTATATCCCACATTGGAAATTGAAACCCTTGCCTTACAATGGGTAATGTCCTGGGCCTCTCCACCCATTGCCAATTGGTTTTGAGTTGGATGCTCTAATTCTATCACGGTATGAAAACATACAATCCATGTGTTAGGCCCAATGACCACATGTGTTCCCATGTCATCCAAATATGAGTTGTCCACGTGTTTGACTTAAGTCATGACTCATGCACTATGGAAGTGGGTGTGCTTAGAATTGGGATGGGTACCCAATTGGTGTTAGAGGTGGTGATGGTGGTGGTGGTGATGGTGATAGGTACCCATTGGGTGCCCATTGCCCATTCCTAGGTGTGTTCAGAATATATCCCACATCAAGAATGTAAAAGTCTTGCCTTACAATATATAATGTCCCAAGTCTCAAATTGTATTGCCAATGGGTTTTGGGTTTGGATGCTCTAATGTATCAAGGTTCAATCTCTAATACATCCCTTGTCGTGTAGCTTACAAAAGTCAAATAATCATACTATGAATTTCATCATAGTTTGAATTGTAATAATAATATGTCTAATTATAGATATATTTTGTGAGAGCATGTACTTTTAGAGTTTTGAATTTCCTGTTTTCAATATTAAAAGTTTGTATTATGTGCAGCCTTATTCATGCTTATGCAGTTGGCAGAGACATGGAAGAAGCATTGTCATGTGTTAGAAAAATGAAGGAAGAGGGTATTGAAATGAGTTTGGTGACTTACAGTATAATGGTTGGGGGATTCGCGAAAGTTGGCAATGCCGAGTAAGTATGCACATACATTTCTAGTTTAGTGTATCCGAAGAATTATAGTTGTAGGATATTTTATTTGGAAAGTGCTATTTTTTATTTTGTAGAACTATGGGGTATGCACATCAAGTAATGCATATATATGGGCTTGCAATTAATATTTTTCTCCTTTAATTAGTAGAAATTCATGACCTTTATTTTAATTTTCAATTCGTGACAGCTGTCATGTAGCCATTAGTCAAGTTATTATAGAAAATTAATAAAAAAGAGGAAAAAGAATCTCATCCAAGGAAACTTTTCATCTTTTATGTACCTTTTGCCTGAGCTCTTGTTGATGCACTGAATGCAGTAAGGTCTCCAAGTTGTACAGATGTAATGTTCCTTATAAAATCAAGGACAGTAAGCTGCTGATTAACAATTGCATAACTAGTGACCTTAATTGACGCAATTGCCTTTTGCACTTGCTGCATGTTTCCTTCTTGCATCAAAGGTGCAAGTCACCAAACTAGGCATTCGAGTTTTGTTTTATTCCAAGTGATAACTTGTAATTGATTCTATAACTTTAACATAGCAATTCTTGTGTATCCTTAATTTAATGTTACATGATGTTTGGAAGAGCTGCAGATCACTGGTTTAAGGAGGCCAAAGAGAGACATACAGCATTGAATTCAATCATATACGGGAATATTATATATGCCTATTGGTGAGTGTTCCAAATTCATTCTGTTGTCCCTTTCACTTTGGCATCATTGTATATTTATTGGTCATTATGTATCCATAAATTATGAGTATTACACCCCATCTAAAAGCTGAAAGATTGAGAAAGTTATTAACTCTTCATTATTTTCTCTTGCATTAGTTAACTTTCTCTTAGATTATAATGTGCTAGTAGTATTGGTACTCAAAATTCTATATTAGAGGTCATCTTCATATGGTGTAACTTGTAAGTAAGATTCATGTTAAGTGGATTACTTTTCTTTTAAATTCATGTTGTTTCTTTCTTGCTTAAATTATAGTCAAACATGCAATATGAATCGCGCTGAGGCATTAGTGAGGGACATGGAAGAAGCAGGCATAGATGCTCCTATTGACATTTATCACACCATGATGGATGGCTACACCATGATTGGCAATGAAGATAAATGCTTGGTTGTGTTTGAACGACTCAAGGTACAAGCTTAGGTGAAAGTGTTTCTCTTACCCAAGCGATACATATGTATATGCATCTGTGCTTGTGTCCCATAATCAAAAGTTCATTTTAAGAAGCGACATTTATTTCTATCAGATGATATTTGTAGATTTTGACTGGATTTGGATTTTTTTTTTCTTTCTATGTTCTATAAGACAATTCATGGTTAAATAAAGGCAAGAAGAACTGTAAATATGATTAAATATGTCCTCTTTGATTGAAAACATAGAAGACCTCTTTATACACAGAGTCAAAGACTAATGATTAATTAATAAAAAACCAAAATGTAGTTTCCATCTTAGTGCTGATTTAATTAGAGGAGCTTTACATGGAAACTTAAAACAGAAAACTCAGTTACAACTTACAAGTATCTGAAATTTAGAAATATAGGAATGATATGTTGATGCAGGAGCATCTACGAAGCTCTCTAAGATTACTTAGGCCCGTCACTCAATTGGGCTAGGGTTCTATTTACTTTAAATTATTAGTTACTTCTTTTGTTTTCCTATTCTTACTAGGATTTGGTTTAATTTCCTATGTCAATTAGGTTTTCTATATTCTAGTATAAATAGGCTATTTAGAGACTCTTGTATTTAGTTTTTGTTGATGAATATAATTTCAGACTTTAGTCTATAGAGTTTCTAATGGGATTTTGCCCTAGAACTCAGTTATCTTCATTCCAACTTCGATTCTACTGCTTTATCCTTCTATCCTCTGTATTTTGGGTATGTTTGGGTTGCTGGACAGCAGCTTATAGCCGCTGCCCTGCATCATATGTACAAGTATAAAAATTGAATATAGGAGTTGTTTGTGCATGATGGTAGTAAAGGGGATGTAGCCTATCCTTTACTTTTGCCTCTAAAGGTTCGTAGATTGTCTGTTAAGATTTTAACTCTTGCCTATCACACTACAATAGACTGTTCGATATGTCCATAATCATTTGACTTATTTCTCCTCGGTATACTAATACTTGCTAATTGGCATATAGGAATGTGGGTTTACACCTTCAGTCATCAGTTATGGATGTCTGATCAATCTTTACATTAAGGTATGACTCCTTTTAAATTATTTTTTCCATTTTTACATGATAGTGACAATAAGTTGCCTCCAGATTTTGTTTTGTGCCATCATTTAAGGGCTTCCTGTTCAGTTAAGATACAAATTGCAGATTAAGTTTAACTTTTGGAACCTGAGAAATACTTCCTCATAAGGCCAACTTGGAGTATTAAAACGTGAATTTCCTTGTGTGAGTAAGCTTACATGATACATCACTTCCTTGGCCAACTAAGAAATAAAGGGCAGGCCTTTCTTTGAGATACTCTTCTGAAACCCATGGTGGTGTTATTCTTCGAGTCTTCTATGTTTCCTTCTTCCCCTCCTGTGTCATGTTAGATTTGTATCTTCTAATACCTAAAGTATATGTATAAGTACAGAGCAGTCAGTTTGCTATTTAACCCTTCCTTTCTTCCAATCACCCACCAATCAAAATGAAGAATGAAAAATGAAGTTTTTGCTTCACCATAACCTGATGATCCCTGTTATATACATACTAATCCTTCAAGGCTGTCAAATCTACTTAAAGAGTTGGTTACAACATTGTCACCTGAAGAAAACCCTAAATCGAACTGAGCCAAACTTTTTATATGTCCGCTAGTTTTTATGCCTACATGTTATTTGCGGGTGCTAATATCTGTTGAGGGTAGTTGTGTAAAACCTCGCTGGTGCAATGCTACTTGGAGTATTGCTATCGCCTTCATGTTCTTTCTCAGTGCATGGCTTTTGAGTTTGTTCTTTTGTTTCTTCTTTGAATGCCTTGAATTCAGATTATCACCATTTTGTTTGTGAGGTGTAAGTTTGTAAGTGTGTATTTATTATTTGGTATATCAAATATGCTAACTTTCAGATTGGTATCAAAACTTTCAGATTGGAAAAGTTTCTAAAGCCTTGGAAATTAGCAAACTGATGGAATCAGCCGGCATAAAACATAACGTGAAGACCTACTCCATGTTAATCAATGGATTTTTGAAGTTAAAAGATTGGGCTAATGCATTTGCAGTTGTGGAAGATTTAGTGAAGGATGGTTTGAAGCCTGACATAGTCCTTTATAATAACATTATAACAGCATTCTGTGGAATGGGTAACATGAACCGTGCTGTTCGTACTGTCAAAGAAATGCAGAGGGAGAGGCATAGACCTACATCACGGACATTTATGCCGATAATACATGGTTTTGCAAGGGCTGGAGAAATGAGAAGAGCTCTTGAGATTTTCGATATGATGAGGATGAGTGGATGCATTCCCACTGTGCATACTTTCAATGCTCTGGTTCTTGGTCTTGTGGAGAAGCGACAGGTAAATACCCTTGAGACACACACCCACAGACAGACACATCCGTATCGATCTCTCAAATCAGGATGTCTGGATTTTAAAATTTACAGTTCTGCATGATCTATATTCCCATTCATTACAATCATGATTGAAACAGTGCAGAATTATGATTGAAACAATGCTCAATTTAAATGCACAACAATTATGATTGAAACAAAAGTAAGTTTCAACTATTTCATAAAAAGAAGGAATGCTTAAAGCTGAATCATCCCTCCACAATCAGACTTGCTGGGACTCATTACTAGTAGTGATGATTAAAGTGAAATACTAGACCTAAGCTTTTCCATACCTTTAAATAGAAGTTTGTTGAGCTAATGAATTGTTGCTATGCAATATCTGGTATGTTTCTATTTGTTGCGAAATAAGGACCACAGAAGATGTTCCAACTATTGATTTATGTCTCCATTGTGAACTCTTCTCCGCTGTACTTCTTAGTGTTTGAAAGTACATGTTGATTAATCCAGTCTGTTTTAGCTTGGAATCTTATATTATTTTGCTTCAGACTGCCTTCTGTTCACACCAGAGGTAATCCAATGTATCTTTTATGTCTTGCAGATGGAGAAGGCTGTTGAAATATTGGATGAAATGACACTGGCAGGCATAAGCCCAGATGAACATACATACACAACTATCATGCATGGTTATGCATCTTTAGGTGATACGGGAAAAGCCTTCGAGTATTTTACCAAATTGAGGAATGAGGGCCTGGAGCTAGACGTGTATACATATGAGGCATTACTGAAGGCATGTTGCAAGGCAGGCAGAATGCAAAGTGCTTTAGCTGTCACCAAAGAAATGAGTGCTCAAAAAATTCCGAGGAACACCTTTGTGTACAACATATTAATTGATGGGTATAGTTTGTTTAAGCTCTTCAGCATGCACCAATATACTTCAAATTAGTGCTTTCATCAGTCTATATTTTACTTTCTTTTTTTCTCTAATTTTTTTTGGGCAGGACGTTTATATAAAGTTATTGGATTCTACTTTTTCTCTGCTTCTCAACTTGTCTACTGACTATGGCTGTTTCCCTTCTGCAGATGGGCTCGAAGAGGTGATGTTTGGGAGGCTGCTGACTTGATGCAGCAAATGAAAAAGGACGGGGTGCGACCTGATATCCACACCTACACATCTTTTATAAATGCTTGTTGTAAGGCTGGAGACATGCAGGTATGCTCTTTAGTAAGTAATTATCTATTTCCTGTTGTACCGTTGGTAAAGATAAGTTTGCATTACTTTAGCATATTCTTATTTGTTGTTGGTTGGGTTTTGATAGGTATTTTAGGATTTTTCAGGTCTTTGGAGATAGTTTTATTCAAATAGCATTACTTATTTGACCATTTTTTCATCAGCGATCCCTTGTCATCTTGCTCATTTAAGTTGGCCAAATGTGGGTTCTTAGAATGCTAAATTTAGAAAACTAAAGTAACTTCATTTTCATTATAAATTCATTAGTTTAGTTCTGCAGTTCCGTCTTTTATGTACATTCTGTCTTTCAGAGAGCTGCAAAAACAATTGAAGAAATGGAAGCATTTGGAGTGAAGCCAAACGTTAAAACCTACACTACGTTGATACATGGTTGGGCACGTGCTTCTCTCCCAGAGAAGGCTTTTAGATGCTTTAAGGATATGAAGTCGGCGGGGTTAAAGCCAGACAAAGCTGTATACCATTGCTTGATGACATCTCTGCTGTCAAGGGCTACTGTTGCTGAAGCTTACATCTACTCTGGTCTTTTGTCCATTTGTAAGGAGATGATAGAATCTGGGTTGATTGTAGATATGGGAACTGCAGTTCACTGGTCGAGGTGCTTACGCAAGATTGAACGAACAGGTGGGGAGCTTACAGAAGCCCTGCAGAAGACCTTCCCTCCTGATTGGAGCTCATCTCATACTTTGGATGTGAGTTCCGACGTAGACAGTGATGATGAACTAGATATTATTAGCGATGACGATGACATGGAGTTTGCTAATAGAATAGATGATGGCAACATTATGTCGAGGATGGTCTGAACGACAGAACATGGTTCTAAATCATGTGCTTAAAGTTATTGACATAGGACATGGCATATGTGTTATGCACGTACAGCCGTTATGCTCTTGATGCTGGTTGCGGCAGCAGAACTTCATTTGAAGCAGGAAAGCACTTTGCAGGATAAGCACCCCTGCTATTATTTTTATAGTCATTCTTCCTCTTCAGGCTTAAACGTCCCTTGTACAGAACAACCTTAATTTTGTGTATTAAAGAACATTTTGGTAATTAGAATTAGTTTATTCTTTTTCACCGCGCTTGAATTTGCCATTGCCCTTGATAGATAGGTCTAACTCCACGTTGTACCTTGGGAGTTTTTGAGCCACTTTACCTACAGTATATATAGATGCTATGGGAGGATTTCAAAAGACGACTATTGATGGAAAATTATTGTAGTTGGTTTTTTTATTTATTTATATAAATGATATTGTACTTTAATCTAATATAAACTATAGAGAGGAGAATTTAAACTTGATGTAGAGTTGGGAGCATATCCGCTCTAGCCCATGTTTGCATTATTGTAGTTGGTTTTAAAAGGGGCAAAGGACATGAAGATTGTTTTTGCTTTTTTGGGTAAATAAATATGATATTTATAAAATACTTTTATAACGGGCCAACACAATCACAACAAAGCTAGATTACCATAATGGGGCTAGTCACACTTAAGTATGAAGATTGGTTTTTCTTTTTAGGGTAAATAAATATGATATTTATAAAATATTTTTATAATGGGCCAATGCAATCACAACAAAGCTAGATTACCATAACGGGGCTAGTCACGCTAAGTATGAAACCCAGAGCAAATATATATCGTCCTCATCATCCATGACCATGACATGTTTTCTTATTAGGAATGAGGGAAGTCATGAATTGAGGAACTTAAATAAGATAATTAAGGAATTTGAATTGAATCAACTGCTCCTCTTAGTTGATTTCATTCCTGATTTTGAGAGTATTTGATTACGAATTTTAACATGGAACCCGATAGTATTATGAATCCACTCCCACATTGAAATACTTCTAGGAACACAGTTTGCCATTATTGATCTCCCAAACGGTACTAATGTTAAGATTACCATCTTCCTTTACACAGTTGTAATTTCTGTTTGAGACAGTTACTAAAACGTTTCACGCTACTGTAAGTGGATTTTTCCATTACATATAAAACTTTCAGACTTTAGCTGACACTTGTTTTGAAAAAACAGTAGGAATCAGACTTATATGCTCTGCATTGGTCGTTTCTCTCCCCATGGTTTTACTATCGAATGTGGATATTTGAAAATTCATATGGTTTGACTTATTTTCTGTTCATCTTCCCTGAATTATTCTCAAATAAATCATAATTTTAAATTTTCACAGGCCAGTGTGCGTGCTCGTTCATCCCTCACTATTATTTATGCTTGACAACTTTCAGTCTTTAGTTTCCCATTCGTTATTTCAGGTCATTAAATATTTCATCATGCTATGATTTCAGTTCAAGCTTATTAGTTAGATCAGTTGCTCCATCAAAAATTGCACAAATCAATCTTCATCTTAGATAGATCACTGAATTCTTTTAGGGCTTTATAATATTCCTATTTCATCGCAAAATAATTGCGTCGATCGATCGATAAGGTAAAGTTTCACGATCACTTGGTATAATTTTGGAAATGGAAATGCAAGAGTTTTGTTTTGCTTGATAAATTTCGTGAAGATCGGCCTGCCAAGAATTATGTTGAAATTATCATGTTTATTTTCTATAATGATAGCTAGCCGTAAGGACCAATCTGTAAAAGTAATTATGGTATGTTCCTTTCTTTTTCCCTTTTTTGAGCTTATCAAATGTTCAATATATATTTGAAGTTTTTCCCTTTTTATTGTGATGTAATTTTGTTTGCGTACTCATCACGTGTAAGATATTGGATTCACTCTCTGGCCGTATCCTTTTGAAAATTGCATTTATTTCAAATTGGACATTCGGAATCTTCAATTTCTGCCTTGCCCCTGTGTATATATGTGCTTGATACCATTGACAAGTTTGTACGTAGAAATATATATTGTTGTGATTTTTTTTTCTTCAGGAATTTCGATGGTACGAGAGAGACTTTGTTAATCACCAACAGAAATATAGGGGGATATTAGAATCTGAACCGGATTACAAGCATTAATTAATAGAGAATCCCGAATAATATCAGGTGGTACCTCAAACGCTACAAGCAAACCTATGCGCCACTTCAATAGTTTGGAGGTAGGATTCATCGGTTCTTGGAATCAAATCTCCTAGTAGGAGCCACTGCTATTTGTCTATGTAGCATTACTAGCATGATCTATAATTTACAAAATGAATTTTTTGAACAGAAAATAATTGCTTATATGGTTAATTAAGTGATCAATTGTAGAAAGTCAACGATGCATGTGCATTAGTTATCAATTCATTGAGAGCCAATAATGAGTATGGGGGCTAGGAAACAAAACAGTTCATGTACAACTATTCTCCTCTTCAAAACCCCATAATTTGGAAGACAGTATGTTCTAAGTATTCCGACAATGGAATCAATTTTATTTGGATGAGAGTGAGTATATTCATGCACATTTTCAGGCAAACTGAATTTGGATAAGGAGTTTTTAGTGTTTAATAACGACTCAGAATTTTTTTTCAATATTTTTATAGTTTTGTTATAAATTTTAAATGATGTACCACGTGGATGAGTTGCATTTGGATTTATTTTCTGATTTTTTTTTTATTCTTTATATTTTTGCAGATTGATAATGACAAATTATCGTTTAAAGAATTTTATATCCTTCTAAAATTAAAATTAAAGTTATCAATTAAAATTTATTTACCCCCAAAATGTTTTTATTTATTTATAATGAACTGGTTCAATTGCAAAAATCATATATAAGTTATAAATAAGAAGGAACTTTAAAAAATGAGCATGCAACAGGCTAGAGTAGACACACTGTTTCAAAATAAAGGGATCTCAATAAGGTACAAATATGATGGGGTCACTCTCTCGTTTACGCGAGGAGAGTCTTGACGGCTAGGGTTAGGATTTCTGCAGTTTTCTTTACTCATTCTCTGCACCGTCTTTCTTAGTTTTCTTTGATTGTCTCTATTGGTTCTTGGTGTATTGAGTACAACTTTTTTTGCTCTTTTGTTTTTTATGGAATAGCTGTGCCGACTTCCTTTTTGAGTTCCCAAGGAGGCAGTTGTTGGTAAGGGGTCTCCATCTTAATGTTATGGAGGTGACCACCGTCTCTTCTACTCAAGGGGATGACAACTATGTGACATCAAGCGGGCATCAGAAGCGTGTGAAAACTGGTGTTAGGCATTTGATTGTTGGTGGCATGGATTTTTATGGTAAGCGTAGTTTTTGTATCGAATATTTTGTTGACAAGGCTAAGGAGACCAGCCTCGAGGGGTCTCCAAGGTCTCCTTAATAATTCTCCTATGGAACATTCGTGGGCTTGGCAACCGATGAACATTCATACTATGAAGATCTTTCTTCGGAAATTTCTTCAGGTTAAGAAATCAATCTTGGTCTCCTTTGCTTGTCAACTGGGGTTCTGGATTACGAAAATTAGAGGTGGAAGTTGGTGTTTGGTTGGATCTGTTATGATGCTCACAATGCATTTTTGACTATGTACGAAGAACTATGATGATTTCTTTAGATCATAGGAGGCTTTTTTTGACACTACCTACGTAGTGATGAGATGTGTTTCAATGATTTTGCAGTTGGGTGATTGGCTGGATCTATTCTGATACCCATAGTACGTTTTTTATTCTGTATGAAGAACTACGATGCTTTCTATAGAGCATAGGAGGACTTCTTTGACACTACATACGTAGTGATGGGATGTTGTTTTAAGGGTTTTGTGGTTGGGTTTTAGGTTTGTCTATTTCGTATAAGTTGTTCGACTCTTCTGTTTAGTCAATAGCATGGGTGATACTTTTTCCTATCTAGGGATTTTGTTTTCTTTAGGAAGGTTTTAATGAGGCCACCATTAACATGCTAGTTCTTACCATGTAATGTTCCTTTCGGTTACAATTTTTTTTTAAAAAAAAAAAACAACAAAACTCATGTGATTAAGGGAATTTATCGATGGACTCGAGATCCTAAGTTTGACTTCCCTCATTTTCAATATCACTTGTATCAATAGATAAAATTAAGGGTATGGTTAATAATTAAGAAAAAAATTATTGTAGGGTAAATTCTAAAGGGCAGTGTGCTCAGGCCCCCATGCCACTCTCATCCTACGTAACACAACAAATTGTTGTACATACAAACAACAAAACCAGCTCCTCTAGGGCTCCACGCACATGGGCAATTTCCAATATGTAACACAGGTAAGCATTTCTTACCAACGCTATATTTTTAGAGTATGTACAAAGGTAAGGCTCCAGAGGATGTGTTTGACCTGTAACTATTTATAATGTTACATTAATAAAGAATATCTAATTACGCATGTTATAATGTATAGCTAATGGAATCTAGTCTAATTGCAGACCAGTGCATATCAACTAATTTTTGGTTTAGTAATATTTGTCTTCACTTATTTTAAGCAGGTCTCAAATTCGACTTACATGGATGATGAAAACGATACATATACTTACGATGAATTTGAAATCTTATGATTATCCTAAATTTGTTATGAGTGTGTAGCTCTCTGTTGTAAAAGTATGTTGGAAATATTCAATCATTCGGAAAAAAAGAAGATGTATAGCCTGCATGTTGTTGGAGAAACATGCATGCTAAATATTAGATTTTACCCTGTAATTGATGAAGCAAGTAACTCATAAACATCTACCAATCACTAACGTGATAAAGAGCTTGGAGGGAAAACAAGAAACAGATCAGAAAAAGAAAGGTAGTACTTCCCTCATAAATGAGAAGTCTATTTCGAAGGTCCCAATCTCCAGACTCCTCTGCTCTGTTCTGCTGCTCTTCATAAAGACATATGGGCAAGGACAAGTGTGCGTGATTCAACCGTTGCCTCTTAAATAGGTCATAGGAATTTTGCTTGTTTATGTTTGATTTCTTCTTTGACACGTTAATTTTTGCAATGGCCAGAGCAGGACCAATGCGTGAATATGTCGACAAACCAGCCAAAGCAATTAATTCTCAGAAAAAGCAATGCATGGGTGAAACCAAAAACCAACAAGACCACTTTGTTTTTTCGTCCCTTAAAACTAGCAGTTTCTTTAATCAAATTAAACACATGAATGAAGTTTGAAATTATAAAAGAAACTGATTTTGAAAAAAGTGTTTGTTCCATTTACTTGTTTTAATTAGAGTGTGATATTGAAGTAACCTGTCGTGATATAACTTGTGTACGTTATGATATAAGTCGATATTTGTTGATATTATACTGTAAAAGTGAAAA